CAATAAATGATTTTCCTTCTGACTGTTTGAGATAAAAAGGATAGCTAGGTTTCTACTCAATGCTCATTGTTTTTCTTTACCAGCAGACTGCTAATATCATTCAGGGTCTCAGTAAGCCCAAAAGGATTACCTTCCAGATTCCTTTGTGGATAGAAGTGGCATATTTCATGCCTGGAAAATGCCATGTAAGGAAAAGACTATTTGGGGTGTGGGAGGAGGTTCCAAGGCATTTTTTACTTCCCTAAAAACAGGCTGAACAAACTCAGCTAGCATTTTCCTCTGACCTGTTCCCTTTGCCCTTCCCTCTTCTTCCCTCAGAAGGTGCAACAGCCATCTTTCCCACATAAGGACAAAATAACAACCTTATCACAAGAATTTACAAGGGACCTGTAAAATATGTATATACTAGAGGCCCCGTGCACAAAATTTGTGCACTCGAGGGAGTGGGGGGTCCCTCAGCCCAGCCTGCACCCTCTCACAGTCCAGGAGCCCTCAGGGGATGCCCTACTGATAGCTTAGGCAGGCCTAGGGGAGTGGGCCTCAGCCATCAGTCGCACATCCTTAGTGCTGCCATAGAGGTGAGAGAGTTCCCTACCACCATTGCTGTGCTCACCAGCTGTGAGCCTGGCTTCTGGCTGAGTGGCATTCCCTCTGTGGCAGTGCACTGACCACCAGGGGGAAGTTCCTGCATTGAGTATCTGCCCCTTGTTGATCAGTGAGCATTATAGCCACCAGTCATTCTGCCATTTGGTTGATTTGCATATTAGCCTTTTATTATATAGGATGTTTTATATGTATATGGAACCACTTTAAAATGGAGTCAGATCTGCCATCTTAAAAGACCTGCCTTGCATGTCTTATGCCTCAAACCTTTGGAAAGTTAAATCAGGGCAAAATAACCTTTGGTCTCATGCACCATTGTGTCCCAGAGAACTATTTAGGAGGATAACAGGAAGGCAGATATGACTACCGGATTGAAAATGTAAAATGTTCCTTCAAATTAGTGTCACTATGTCGGCTTATCTGCACCCATAGAAATGTATCCCTTCTATTGATGTAATTATTTCCATTCCCTTTCTCATAAATACCTCTGGCTTTTGTCTCCTAATTGGAACACTATTTGAGTTTCTGCTTGAATCAGAAATAACTATTGCTTTTTTAAAAAATCTCAAATAAATGCTTGTTGCCTCTCACTTTGAAAGGTTCTGTTTTTAGGTTATCAAGCCTAACTAAAATCCCAACTCTTGACTCTCTGCCTCTTAATTTACCATGTGAGGAAATAAGCCCCTATCTGGGCTTTTATTTGTAGCTGAACACATTCCTAACTGATATTTACTAATTCTGGCTTGATATATTGAAATAAGCAAAGTATAGAGATGCTGGGATGTTTGTCCAATGTCATTTCATGAACTGATTGGTGGCAAATCCAGTCCCACTGTGTCTCTGAGTCTTAAATTCCCATCCTAAATACTCTGCTAATAGATTACATTCCCATGCAAACGGTGTTTATGTCAAGAGTCAGAACGATTACTTATAAAATATTTACATGGAAACCAGTTGTGTGCACGTATAAGAAGCTGCCATCTGGAAATGTAACTAGGCAAATATGTTTTTGAAAGCTATGGATTTCACTTAATCTGAGCAAGTGGCCTTTGCAGTCTTGGGGGCGAATCGCACAGGAAGCTCAGAGGAGGAGCTGACTCTACAAAGCCCAGCTTCCCCCTCAGCAAGCGCAGTGAAGCACCTCCTTGGAACATCATGCTGTGAACTCAACCAAAGAGAGCTGCCTGCCCTGGCATCTTTTCTAGAGAAGATACTGAATGCGCAAAAGCAATGGCTTTGAACCACTAATAAATATTTTATAATCTGATCACTTAGGAAGTAGGGTTGAAAAGCACGATCGTGTAAATATAATCTTTGCATGGCAGCGTTGTTTGAGCTTAAAGATATCATCTGCCTTGGGTTGTTATAATTTAATAAAAAATGATTGTTACGTATTAATGAACTCAAAATAATGTAATTAAATAAATGCAACAAATAAAACTATAGGCAAATCCTTTGCTGAGAATCTGTGACTGCAACAAAGATGCTGGAAATGTGTTTGGTCAGGATTTCCGGTGCTTTAGGATCCCTGGAAGAAGAAGACCTACTCATTTCCTGGGAGGAGATGTAGGTTGTGGTGCTTACACTAATCCTTGGAACCGTCCAGGTATAGATGTAGGTAGTGGTGCTTACAACTAATCCCACCACCAAGCAGTAGACTCCCAGTGGGATGGCTTTATAGTGATTCTCCCTGTGGCCCTGGCTCTGCTCATGTCCCTGTTCTCCTGGCCAGACCCCATTTGTCCATTGTAAACCATGACCCAGTAGTACCAGATTTTCTCTCATGGGAAGTTGGAAGTCAAACAAAAAGACATCGTGATGAGAAGTCTTTAGAACCAAGTCATGTGGCTATCAGCAAACTAGGAAGTGAATTCACAAACTCCTGCCACTGAGGTCCCAGGGGCTTGTCTAGGTCTAGCCCTTCCTAAGACTGTCTGCATCTGTGAGCTAGCCCAGTACTCTCTGAAGTAATACTTTTCTGAAACTTGAGCTAGACCAAATCAATTTCCATTGCTTAAAAACAAAAGCATCTTTGCAAATACTCTTAGCAATATCATGCACCCATTTTTAGGGTCACAGAGTCAGAAACACTAGTTCATTCCCACCTCCAAGCAGAAATAGCAGTCCTAATCTTGGAAAAATATGGGGTGGTGTGTTGTCTACCTTATTGTCTCTAGGCCTGTAAGGAAAGTAGGTTTAACATCTGGCCTTCATACCTTCATACTCATCTTACAGACCTTGCATATTACCTCTCTCTCTCTCTCTCTCTCTCTCTCTCTCTCTCTCTCTCTCTCTCTCTCTCTCTCTCTCTCTCTCTCTCTCTCTCTCTCTCTTTCTTCTTTCCGTGGGTTATTGAAGAACTCCCTTCAATCCATGTGATTGCACTGACTGGGGCGTCATAGCTATTCTCTCTCTCTCTTTCTCGTCCCCAGCCACAAGTATGGGGCGGAGGGACTGCATCATATTAATAAGACACACTTGAACCAGTCTCTACCATTATTCCAGCCCACAACCAAACAATCATTTGAAGCAGAGCCACCTCATTGATTAACATCTGACCATAGAAGCATGATGGTTTGCCTGGACCAGCTGAGAACAGAAGAACCATCAGCTGAGCAGAACCCAAATTGCCAACTCACCACATACAAAATAAACTAAATACAATAGATAAATGCTTGTTATCTCAAGTCTCTAAATTTGGGAGTGTTTTACTACACTGTAAAAGCCAACTGATACACACCTCTCTAAGATCAGGTTCCTCAATGATGTAATGTAAATAATAAAGATAGAAATAATAAAACCTACCTCCTAAAATAAGTATGGAGACTACATGAGATAATGTTTGTGAAGTGCCCATGTTACATTAAGTATTATGTAACTGGTGACTAGCACAGACATGGTAATGGTGATATAGGACTCTTTGCCTCTTGACCATAAATGTGGGAATAATTGTGTCAAACTAGAGGCCCGGTGCACATATTTGTGCACCAGTGGGGTCGCTCAGCCTGGCTTGTGGGATCGGGCCAAAACTGGATCTCCAACATCCCCCAATGGGTTTCATATTGCGAGAGGGCACAGGCCAGGCTGTGCCTTCTCAGACAAAGAATGTCAATAAATGGTTGTTATTGATGTATTGTTGCTAAGTATTACCCCAGAGCAGTGGTTGGCAAACTGCGGCTCCTGAGCTGCAGTTTGCTGCTCTGTTGACTAATGAGTTTGCTGACCACTGCCCCAGAGGATTGGGTGGGCCCTTTGTTCTGTCCTGTGGCTCTTGAACACAATCCACCAACACCATGCCCTCCCCTACCCTGAGCCTTCAGTTTCCTCCCCTTTAAGATTAGACCGTGGCTCCCAGGCTCCAGCCGCACAGTGGGCCACCCCCAGCCTGAACAGTCCCTACTTAAGAAGATCACATTGAGTCCCCTGACTCCTTGAACTTCAGCCTCATGTGTGCCTTAACCATTAGAGGGCAGCATCGTCTTCCAGCCACACAGGAAGCCGGGGCCCTCCTGAGAGTATTTTTCTGATTCCTTGTCTAAGGGGTGAAATCCATCACATCAAAAGCCCCTGCTGGTCCCATTGCATGCCCGGAACACTCGGACCGTGACCACTCAGCTCAGGTTCCACATCCGTCCCTCTCTGCTGACTGGGGAGTGACCCCGCCCCCCCGCCAGTCTCAGAAGACACTAGTGGCGACACTTCCCCAGCTCTGGGCAACCTCTCAACCTATGTGAGTGGTTTCATAATTCACGCCTGCCCATCAGCGGACAGATTTAGCCTGCTGCCTGCTGAGTCTGGAAATACTGAATATTAAAATACTCCAGACGCTCACCCTTCTGACGCCTTCGGCTCTGCAGGATTCACAGGCAGTTGGTTGCACAAACAATTCCAGGGACACACATCAATTTGTCAATTAAGTAGATCCTGAGCGCTCATATGTGTGGCTTTCATTGAAACAGGGAAACAAGTATCCAGGGCTACAGATTAAGAGCGTGGCCGTGGAGAAGCCGTCTGGCCTCTGAGCCTGTGTATTTTCTTAGGATACCACTGTTTAATTTGTGTGTCTCTCTTTTTTTTTTCTTTTTCTTATTTAAAAGGTTTTATTGCATAACTTTTATTACTCACCCATTTTGACACAGAAATTTAAGCTGAAGAAAAAAATTAGGTGCATGCACCAAGGCTGAGTGAACAGGGATGTTCACCAAAGCTTTGCTTTGTGATAATAAATACTTGGTAGTAACCTGGTTGTGCAGTGACAGGGTAGTCATACAAGAGAAGGCTCCTCAGCTGTTAGAAAATTGTGTATATGAATATCTATTGATAAAAATGGCGACTTGCCCTACATGCAATAGAAATAAAACAGTTTTCACAAGTGTGTATAATACAATACTATCTACCTGTAGAAATATAATGATATTTCCTTAACAACCGTGGTGGTGTTACTCTTGTTTATGTTACTCTAGCTTCTTTGAATGTTCACATTCTGCAAAGAACAGAAATGAGAAGAAAAGTCATTTTGACAAAGTGCCAAGAGAAGTGGCAGGGCGCCCCTTGGAGGCCCACCAGGTGAGTGCCCCACCCCAGAATCCCTCCCAAAGCTAGTCGGGTCCCTCCCATTCTCCCCCAGGAACGATTCCTGCAGAAAGGGTTTCAGGAGGAACCTGTGATGTGGGGCCCACAAGCCCCTGCCTGCCCTGCCTGCCCTGCCTGCTCTCCATGGAGAGAAAGCAGTGAGATGAGAGAAATATGAGAGGTAACACCTGTGTCAACTTGGGAAAGGCAAGTCTGCAAACGGTTCTGGTCAATCTTCCGTGTTTTTCACTTGCACCCTCAGTCACCCAACAGAAGCAATTGTAAGGATTCTAAGAAGTAACAGAAAGCCCTCAGCTGGTGCCAGGCACATAGGAAGGTACAAAGGGTAAAATCGATCACATTAAAAGCTGGGGCTGGAAGGACTGGGAAAAGAAAACCTTTCTCTGAGCATCTTCCCGAGCTCTCATTCCCATTTTACAGATGAGCAAACTAAGGCTCAGAGAGAATGAAGGCTTGGCCCAATGTCATTCAGCCAATAAGTGGCTGAACCAAACTGTGACCTGCCTGCCTCCAGGGCCTCTTCCTTCCACTCGGAAGAGACTGTGCACTCTGACTTTCTATACAAAGGAGGCTACATGGGGCAGCAAAGGGACAGACCTGCAGCACAGACAGTGTAGCAACACAGAGACACGAGCGAGGTCCCTTAAGCCCCAGCACATTCTGCACATGGAGAAACTAGTCATACCCCCTCAGGAGGAGTCCATTGGGAAAGTACGTTTTTAGAGGCATGCTAAATCATGATGATGACGCCATTTCTTCTCTGAAAGATGCATGTCTGGGTATAATCCCATTTGGCCCTTTCAAGATGGCTGCAAACAGGATGGAGGAGGGATCTTATCCCCATTTTTCAGAAGATTGGCTTGCTATGTGACCTTGGGCTAGTCACTCCCCTACATGTGAAGTGAGGAGGTTGAAACATAGTCAGCCCGAGTTCTTTTCCGTGTCTGTGAGTCATTGCATATTGAGTGATACTGAAATAAATACCGGGGAGGGGGGGGAAGTTCCATGAGGAGGAGATAACTAACATTTTGTGCTTCTTGTGTGCCAAGTTCTTTGATACTGTGAACCCCTCACATCGATAGACCCTCATGTGTCAGGCACCAACCTGAATTCTTTAGATGTGGTACATTGTTTAATTCTTACCACCTGATGATATAGATCTAAGTTATTTCACTTTTATAGATGAGAAAACTGAGGTTTAGAGAGAGGAGATAATTTGCCAATTATTATAGAGCTAGTTAAGAGGAAGGGCAAGAACTTGATGCAAGTCTCCAGTGCCAAAACCCATGCTCTTAACAACCTTCCCTAATGAGTGACGCATACACATTATTGAACTTGGACTTTTCCATGTCACCCACCTGCAGTCTTCCTTCTGTGTTGATTGGAAAGTACCAGAGCTTTCTAAAGGCAGAAGCTAGTGGCACAGGGGAAGGCCCAAAGGCAGTGTCTGCAGGACCAAGGTTAGGAACATAAAGGGAAGTGACAGGAGTGTGGGACCCCAGGGACAAGGGGATCCACAGGAGTTAAGGAACTGTATCAGTTTGCTAGGGCTGCCATAACAAAGTGCCACAGACTAGGTGGCTTGAACAACAGAATGATCATTTGTCACAGTTCTGGAGGCTGCAAGTCCAAGATCCAGGTGTCTGCAGGGTTGGTTCCTCCTGAGGGCCCACCTGTCCCACTGCTCTCCTTGGCTGATGGATGGCCATCTGCTCCTGAGCCTTCACGTGGTCTCTCCTGTGTACTTTCCCATGTCCACATTTTTTCTTCTTGTAAGGACACCAGTCATATTAGACTAGGGCTCACCGTAATAACATCACTTTACCTTAATTACTTCCTTAAAGTAACCTTATCCTATCTAATAAAGCGGGAATATGCTAATTGCTGCCTTGCCCTCAAAGATGGCAACACCCACAGCCAATAAGGAGGGAATATGCTAATTGACTGCCATGCTCTCAAAGATGGTGGCACCCAGTCCCCTCAGTCCCACTGGGGCAGCAAGCGCTATGAGCACCTGCCTCTGGAGTCTCCCAATCCCCTCAGCCTCCCAGCCTCGCAGAGCCAGCTCAAGGCAGCATCAGAGGTGTGATGGGGCATGTCACCTTCCCCTGATCGCCGGGTTGCCTCCCGCACCTGAGGCTCCTGGACTGTGAGAGGGGACAGGCCAGGCTGAGGGACCACCCCCTCCAGTGCATGAATTTTCATGCACCAGGCCTCTAGTCTCCACATAAAGGAACATCTGAAATACTAGAGGTTGGAACTTTCACATATGAAATTTTCAGGGATGCAATTGCAGCCCATAATAGAGACCTAGAGAAATTGTAATATAGAGGCTTCACTTAAAGGCATGCATGTTAAACAGTCATATTAAAACAATGTCCTGCCGAAACTGGTTTGGCTCAGTAGATAGAGCATCGGTCTGCAGACTGAAAGGTTCCAGGTTTGATTCTGGTCAAGGGCCTGTACCTTGGTTGCGGGCACATCCCCAGTAGGAGGGGTGCAAGAGGCAGCTGATCGATGATTCTCTCTCATCGATGTTTCTAACTCTCTATCCCTCTCTCTTCCTCTCTGTAAAAACTCAATAAAATATTTTTAAATTAAAAAAATAAATAAAAAATAAAAAAACAATGTCCTGGCCAATTAAGACTCATCTGAGGGCCCCACTTGTGCCTCTTCCCATAGAGGAACACTATTGGATAGTGTTTCTCACACTAGACATGCTAGGAGCTCCATGGTCCCTACAGGTCTAATTCTTCTCTCCCAGAAGTAGGCATTCTATGAGAATTTTTTAATTTGGTTGGGTTTTTTTTATGATCATCTAAAAACAACTGTTATACTAGTTTTAATTTACGGAATTCTCATCATGGCTAATTCAAAACTGAAAGACGTTGTGACAGAATGGGTTTTTCAAGTCACTATTTCTGAAAATAAGGCTCTTGAAAATACAGGGTCCATTGTCATATTTTTAGGAGTCCCATGAAATGGCATTCTACAAAAAGAAACCCACGATTGTCATGTTTGAGGAGTTTTTAATGTAGGACAGGCATTCTCCCACCAAACCACTCTGATGAGCAATTTTACTGATGAGCAATAAGAATGAGCTATCCCTGCACATATTCTCCTAATTTTATTGAAATATTTGTATTTTTGCACCCCCAAAAATGTTTTAATCTTTATAGTCTCACCAAATAAAAAAAAAAAATCATTCCTTGTTCTCTCCCAGTTTATCTGAGGATGCTTAGGTAATGTTTATGGAGTTGCAGACACTAAATGATATAATGATGAGTTGGACATTTTCCCCCTTATCATTGTAACTTTCCATGTTAGTACACTTTCTTTGAGATATTCTTTCAAATGGATATAATGGTTTTATTGTCCATTTAAGTCATTTTCAGGTGTGTTTTTTTTCTTTTTTCTTTTTAAGTAATATTAAAATGAACAATCTCACGGCTTATCCTTTTTCCCTTTCATTTTGAATTGTTTTTAAAGATGAATTCCTAGAAATGGGATTATAGAGTAAAGGCTTCTTCTTTTCTTTCTTTAATTTTTATTGATTTTTAGAGAGGAAGGGAGAGGGAGAGAGGAAAAAACATACAAAGATGTTAGAGAGAAACATCGATCAGCCGCCTTCAGTACCCCCACCAGGGCTCAAGCCCAGCCCAGGTATATATCCTAACTGGAAATTGAACCAGCGACCTTTTGGTTCCCAGAACAGCACTCAACCAACTGAGCTACACTGGCCAGAGCAGTAAAGGCTTTTTGTGGTGCTTGAAACATAATTTCAAATTGTTTTCCACCACTGTCATCACCACTAGCCACTTATGAGTCTACCAGTCTTGTTCTTGCTATTTTAATTGCATCAAATAAAACTTTGGTATTAGTTGAATTTATTTCTTTGATCATAGGGAAGCTAAACATGTTCCCACATTTCTTTACTACAATAAGTATACGTTCCTAGGTGACATCATATTTCCTGTCTTTGCTAATCTCCCTCCCCTCAGGCAGAACTCATCACATCTCCCTCAATCTCAGTCCCTATTTCCTACCTCCTCTACTCTTGCACTTAGCACAGTCACAGTTATTTGAGATATTCTTCCAAATGGATATAACCGTTTTATTGTTCCTCTAATCCTGGAAAAATGCCATTAAAGGCAGCCAGGAATGGAGCACTCGCCTATGAGTGCTCCAAGAGGGAAAGGGCCATGTCTTCCTTCTAGAACTTCCTTGTCCATAGCTATTAGTTACATGTGGCTACTGAACATTTAATATGTGGCTCGTCCAAATCAAGATGTGCTCAAAGTATAAAATATGCACTAGGTTTCAAAGATTTAGAGGGAGAAAAAGACTGTAAAATATCTTGTTAATTATGTGTATACTTATCACATGTTGACATGATAATCCTTTGGCTATATTGGAATAAATAAAATAAATTATCTTTATTTATTTATTTACTTATTTATTTTATGTAGCTACTGGAAAAGTTAAAGGTGTAAGTGTGTTCTCATATTACATGTCTATTGGACAGCATTGCCTAGAGTCCTGGTGCTTAGACTAATGTTTTCAGGGTAATAATTCATTAAGTATTTGATAATGGGTTTACAAGCTCTTAAACTCTTAATAATTTGACTGTGGCTCTTAGTTACAATAGTACCATCATTATCAACAACCCTTTGTCATGTTCATACTTTCCTTAATGTTTTGTCATAGGTACAGTTCCCTTCAATGTCAGTGAGATCAGTTGAAAAATGCCATTAAAGGCAGCCAGGAATAAAGGAAGACAAGCAATACGGTCAGTCCCACAAATATTTACTGAGCATCTGCTGTCACCTGGCACTGTCTAGACACTTGGTTATACCCAGTGAACAAAGTAGACATGGATCCTACCCTTGAGAAGCTAACATGTGGCTGAAACAAGTTTGTGACAATGT